GCGCCTGGGCGGGGAGCGAACCGCCGACCCCTCGGATGAGAGGACGGCACGTTATCACTGTACTAGCCTGGAGGCTTCAGGAGGGAAGGTTCAGTTCAGTTCAGTTAGATTTGCGAAGTCATGCTTCGCCCGGGCCTTTTCTCTGGAGTGGCCCGGCCTGTGTTAACTATTTCTAGTTAACTCAGATGTTTTCTTTGAACTGCATGCTTATCGCGGTGGCTGAATAACAAGCAAGCGATCCAGCTGCCACGGGGTAAGCATGTTGCACACCCTCTTTACCAGCCCGGCGGCTGTGGTGGGTGGTCCCTGCCTCAGAAATTGTGTGTACACAATTCTGCAAGTAATGTAACAGGGTGGCGTTAGGCTCGCCGCAGTGTTTGCATAACCTCGCAGTCTCATTGTCAATAATTTGCCAAGCGCATTGGTAACCTAGTCTTAGTCTGAATAGTATGACTTCGGTACCTCTTTTTGTATTTGGAGGAAGGGCCAGTGGCTCATAGCCTGAAGCATCTGAGTACCACTTGGCAGCGAGCGATTTTGTGATGTTTTCTCTGTGTTCCCCGGAGGACCGCACACGCTTCAGCTTTGGTACCTTGGCTTAGTCCCCTTCGGCTGGCTTTAACGATCATGGAGGATGGGGGCATACCCCTGCCGTTTTCGGCTAGTTTATCAGCAAGCTCGTTCCCTTGTATGCCTATGAGGCTTGGGACCCAGTTTATGATGATTCTTCTACCTTGACTAAGGATTCTTTGGGCTATGTTTAGCACTGTTGTCAAGAGGTAGATGTTATCTGGGCATGCTATGCTGTAAGCTGTCAATAGTTGCTCTANTGATCTCCCTCAGAGTTATTTGATCAATGACCCTTTGTGCTTGTGCCTTTAATCTAGGCATGGAATATTGATCTCCCTATCATGACTTTCATGACTGATAGTCTTTCCTTGGTTCTGTCAAGCAGGTATTGGATCTCCTTTTTGAAAGTGTGTGTCCTATCCATACACTAAGGTATAGTTAGTCCTTCACCCATTCCAGATCCATACCCTGTATAGTGAGCTTTTTGTTTCTGACATTAATTCTCAGAGCCATTGCTTTGGATTTTGCTGCTGATATTTTCAGACCCGTCCTACAACACTCTTCAGACACCAGGTTCAGACAACGCTGAGCTCTAGTTAGGCAGTGATTGCCAGAGGCTATGATTGCCAAGTTATCTGCTTAAGAGATGATCTTGCATCCCTCTGGCAGGTGAATGTTGAGTATGTTGGACATAAGGGTATTAAACAGGGCTGGACTAGGAACCCCTCCTTGAGGAGTTCCATTTTCAAGTGGTATGTGCTGTGAGAGGTGGCCTTGAAATCTGACATTTGCTGACCTATTTTTAAAATAATCAGCTATCCAGGCCAAGAGTCTGCCTTTGACTCCTTAGTGGATTAGGGTCTCTTGAATGGCAAGCGGACTTGCCAGTTCAAAAGCCTTCTCCAGGTCAAGGAAGACAACCACGGCGGGCGAGGTGCAGATTGTGCTTAAGAGTGTGGAAATGCTATGAGCAGTGCTCTTACTCCTTGTGAACCTGTGCAGGTGTTCATGAGGAGGGCTCGTCTTCCATCGGAGCCTGTTGAATACCATCTTCTCAGCTGTTTTACCCAGGCAGCTGAGAAGAGAGATGGGACGGTACTTCCCAGGCTCCTTTGGTTTTGGAATGGGAACTATTGTGGCTTGTTTCCAGCTCTGGGGCACCGTGGCGGTTTGCCAGGATTTGTTGATAACCTGCAAGAATGCAAGTTCTCCTGCAAGGCCTAAATGCGAAATGATGGGGTGGGAGATCCCATCAGATCCTGGTGCTGACCCACAACTGGATTTGTATGATTTTCTTAGTTCCCTAAGAGAGAACAAGGCATCCGTTTCATCAGCTTCGAGTGCTTTGTCTCTTATGAGAGCAAGTCTTTCTGGATTTAAGATTTGTTGTTTTTATCTCATCATTGGAGGCCGATTGTGGGTGCTGGTTCTGGCTGAGAACTCAAGCACCAATCTGTTAGCCTCTGATTGTGGGTCATGATGAGTGCATTTCGGGGCTTGGCGGCTTGTCGCTTGGCTGATCCGTTTCCACAACTATGTAAGGCTGGTCTGGTGTCCAAAAGTTTGGCACCATTTCAGCCATTTTTCCTGCCTTACTCTGTTGGCAGTTTCCTTGGCATCCACGACAGCTTCCCTCAACAGGGCCAGATTATCGGGAGATCTTTGCCGTCGGAAGTTTTTTTTCTGCACATATTAACCCTGTAGTTGACCTCTTTGATCTCGTCATTATAGTACCAGGCGTCTTCGTGAGTTCTGTACCATAGGCGAGTTTTGGGGATGGTTTGTGAGGCTGCCTGGTTTATGGCCTGGATTAGCCTTGCCTCTAGCACATCCACATTGTCATTATTGTTGGGTTCATTGTCTTTCAGACATCGAGCCAAGCCTTCCTGGAAGGCAAACTAGTTGGCCTTGTCTGTTTTCCATTTAGAAATGTGATGTGGTCTTTGGGCTGGACAAGCATCCATTAGTGTGGTGACTATGCCGTAGTGATCAATAGTAACCGTATCATCGACACACCACCGAATTCTCTCCACCATTGTTGTATTGGGAAAGGTAAGGTCTAGGACCCCTCCCTTCGCATGCATTGGTTCTTTGGTGTTGAGAAGAGCGATCTCAGGGAACGTCTCAAGCACTTCTGCTATGTGAATGCCTGCCGCGTTCAGCCTTTTGCGGGGATTCAGCATGGCTATGTGTGCACTGAAGTCTCCTCCTATGATCACTCGGTCTTGTGCTGCAGTAGCACAGACCTGGTTTAGATCTAAGCTCTCACACAGTGGTTTGCTATAAATATTATATATTCTTATAGGGTCCCCAGGTAGCTGAATCTCAACAGCAAGAGATTCAACACCATCTTCACAGTGTGGCGGGTTGGCTATTAAGGAGCATGGGATAGCTTCTTTTACCAGGGTCATCCGGCCTCTAGCACCATCCAGGTTTGGAGTGGTGAAGGCATATCCTGAGAAGCACACGGATCTCATAGTGTCTCCTGGAGTATGACGACGTCAATGCTCCTTGCTCGCACTATTGACTGGAGAAAGTTCTTGCTTTTATAGCTGCAGATATTCCACTGCAGAATGCTTAGATTGTGTGCCATGATGGTTACTCAGAGTCACTTGCTTCAGCTTCAGATGCCCCAGTGCTGGTGGCATCAGATAAATATAGATCCTCGTTGATTGAGGATTGTACAACTTCCTCTAAGTGAGACACTCCGGTTAAGGGTCTACCGAGAGGTGTAGGGCCTTGGTTGGAAGTGCCACCTCGGATGAAGGGACGAGACTTTGGCTGCACAGACTCGGCCAGCAGTGGGGGCTTCTGCTGCACAGTTTCAGCCTGTCCTGCCAGACTAGCTGGGGTTTCACGTAAGGCTTCTCCCGAAGCTAGCCTGCCATCCGAGGATTTAGGGAGGGGAGTGCTGCTCGTTTTCGGTTTGGAAGCTTCTAGCTTCCTTCCCTTCAGAGCTGACACAGTTTGGGTCATAGCCGTCATGGCGACCTGCACTGCTTTCTTTTCCTCCTCACTGGTCCTCCCCAAGGCTGTTGCTACTGCAGAAACTACAGCACTCAACAGGAGAGTCATATCTTTCTCGTCAAAGAAAAGATTATCCTCTACTGGGGGACCTTTGCTGTGGTCTTTGAGCCTTTTTCCCTTTGGTTCTTTTTTATGGTTTTGCCACTAGCAAGCTTGGGGAATTCCTCTCTGTTAGAGGTATCCAGTTTTGGCTGTGGGGCGACTCCTTCCTCTTAGGAGGTCGTGGAGTCTTTCCTCTTTTGTTTTGACCCCAGACGTAGGTGCCTAGGGATGCAGGGACAAAGTCAGGACGCTTTTTGGCTAGCTCCTGCTTTTTAATAGCTGCCTGTTTCCTGATAGAGCAAGCCAGGCTCCAAGCATGATGTTTCTTGGCACAGTTTGGACACTTGGCTGTTGTGTCCTTCTGGCCATCTTTGTGTGGCTTGATACACACTTCTGTTTCGTGTGCCTCGCTGCATACACCACATTTGGCTTTGGCCTTGCAGTTGGCCTGGTGATGCCCAAATTTCCGGTATGTGAAGCACCTCAAGGGCTCTGGCACATATGTCCTGAGCTTGTATGAGCCCTGATGACTAGGTGATCGTGGGTGTGATAATAATGCTATTACTGTTATTATAATTTCTATTATTGCTGTTGTAGCGGTTCCTGATTGGCCATCAATCTAGAACTGCACCACCGAAGAGTCGCCATCGTCGAACGTCGTTCGGGATCCCTCTCGGACTTCCTGCTGGTTTCTGGCTGCTGTGGGGCGACGGCACTGTGGATCTTCTTGCTGTGCCACTTCTCCAGACGTTCGGCGTGCTTTGGCCATTATTTGCTTGGGCTGGCCACTCTCTGCAGGGTACGAGGCGCCAGCGTTCGGTTGCCAGGGTGGAGTTGGGTGGGCTCTACCACGGGCCCTGCAGCCACTCACAGCAGTAGCTGCCTCTTTGGTTGGTCTTCGCGAAGAATGCTGGAGTGTGCTGGATCGACAGGGAGGCGGATGTTGGCGAGAGATCTGTGGATTCAGAGCTTCGTGGTTGGCGGTTCCTGGCGGCCTTTTCGGGCAGGTAGCTGTCTTCGTTTGGGGATTGGGGACTCACACTTAAGGCCAATCTTTTGGCCAATTTGACTTCCATCAACGATGAAGTCTTGGGCTTCTCCACTTAATAAAGTTTTCAACTTCCTTATCGATCACTGAAATAAAGTGAACTATACCCGGGTAGCGATAGCCAAACCCGGTCCACCCTGCAATATGGGTGGTAAATTAAAAAGAAGAAAAAAAAATAAGGCGGAATCATCATTCGCCACACGACTGCTGACCTGACATTACTTGTGCTTGGCTCATTAACAATAAAGAGATAAAATCCAGTTTGGTTTCTCTACACTGGTGACCCTCGGAGTGAACCAAGTTTTTGCACAAGATGTCAGCAACACACAGGACGCTACCAGTCTGCTCTCTGGCCAGCCTGCTGGAATGGTTTTTTCAAGTGGAGCAGGAATTCCTCCTCAGGAATATCACCACCCAGACCACTAAATTCCGCCTGCTGGTCACTAACCTCCCGTCAGAACTCATCGGTGCGCCACTTATGACGAGCTTAAGGAGGCCATTCTTAGGTGAGCAGCACCTAACCCCTTGACCGCATTAAGCTCCATCCTCTCGTCTGACACCGCGGACAGCTGTACTCCTACAGAAATCCTTCACCACTTCCAGCGCCTCCTCACCGGCACCGGCACGACGCTCCCACCAAACGTCATGCGCTCCCTCTTCCTCAAACGGCTGCCCGCTGATATCCAACAAATTCTGCTGGTGTCAGACGCCCCATTGGAGCACCTTGCCCTAAAAGCCGACGCGATGCTCGCAGCTAGGGCACACACACCGTCAAAAGCAACAGTGTCTGCCACATCCACCACCTCCGCCGTGACGTTGGGATCCCTTGCAGCCCACGTCGCCACACTATCCGAGGCTGTGCAGAAGATATCCACACAGGAACACTCTCGCTCCCGGCCTCGCTTTCGCACACCTTCGCCGCCACATAGTGACCGGGACTTCAGTCGCTCTCTTCCGCCCAACCGCCAGCCTTGCTTTCGCATTCCTGCACCACCGCTCAAAGATTGGAGGGTACCGCGGAAACTAGGTGCGCCTGTCTTTCGCGGACCTCGAAGGCGTTTATTGTATGTTCGAGATACCTCCTCCTCCCTATGTTTCCTCGTCGACACAGGGGCCAAGGTCAGCCTCCTCCCGGCCTCCCACAGGGATAAACGCTTCCCCTCCTCCCGCACTCTGGAAGCTGCCAACACATCGCCCATCAACACCTACGGCGAGCATTAGCGGACCCTCTCACTGGAAGGCGAGCCCGCCCAACGATTCCAGTGGATCTTCCTCGTCGCCGACGTCCCTCAACCCATCATCGGCGCCGACTTCTTGGCGCACTACGGTCTGACGGTTGATCTTCAAGGTATGGCCCTGATCCACCAAACTGGGGCCTGCACACACGTTGCTCCGGCTCTGGTAAGTACCCCCCTAATATATACAGTGCTTCCCAGGACCTGCGCCTTCAAGAACATCCTGCGGGAATTCCTGGCTTTGACCAAGCCGATCAACCGGGCCACCCAACCACGGCACGAAGTCCGGCACCACATCGTGACCCATGGTCCCTCTACCAACTATCACTGCCGTCCGCTCGCCCCCGACAGATGTCGCAGTGCCAGGGCGGATTTCGACCATATGATGCAGTTGGGGATCATACGCCCTTCCCGCAACCTGCAGCGCATCATACTTCCCCCAGGTTGGGTCCAGGTCCGTAACCACAACCAACCAACACCATACCGGGACCTGATTGGTTGACCACGGACACCTCACGGCTGGCCCATTGGACCGCAGGCTCCCCTCGTTCCCGAGGGGCTGACACAGCTCAGACCCACTTAAGCGCCCGCACCCGGGCCGAGTTCAACACTCACGATCCTCCAGCCAAGCAGACCCCCGCAGCAAGCAGCAACAAGGCCTAACCAGGCCTTAGCCGACGGGTGAGCCGCCCCAGCTCTACCCGGCGATCTCCAGCACACCAGCCATACCTGTGGGCACTCACGCCCACACACAAAAGCTCCTTAAAGAGATGATTGACACCAGTCTATAGCGGATACCAATCCATTGCCAAACTGTTATTTTCCCTAAAATTATCATTATTATCATTATCATTATCATTATAGAAAGGGTTATAATGATGGAAATTACATTAATAATTGCCATAATAATGATAATAATTGCAATAATGATAATTATGGCGATGATTATTACTTTAATGATGATGATAATGACAATAATGATAATAATAATGACAAAAATGATAATAATAATCATAATGATAATTATTGAGCCCATTTATAATGAAAAAAGGCTAAAAGTAAAAAAATCCCAAAAGTCGAAAAACGGCAAAATCTAGCCAATTACAGCCTTTTGAGAGAATGGTCGAAAACCCCCCTTTTTCGATTCTAAATGATAATTATGAGGATTTTAGCATTAATTCTGATAATTATGATAATTTCCACGATAATCCCACTAATGTTGACGATAATTATGATAATGATAATAATTCTAATTATAATTTTGATGATAATAGAAATAACAATAATTAACAATATTCTAATAATTTTCATACCAATAACAACAATAGAAATGATAATGATAATGCTATTACTGTTATTATAATTTCTATTATTGCTGTTATCTTCCTTAAAATTATCATTATTATCATTATCATTATAGAAAGGGTTATAAGGATGAAAATGACATTAATAATTGCCATAATGATAATAACTGCAATAATGATAATAATAATGATAATTATGGCGATAATTATTACTTTAATGATGATGATAATGACAATAATGATAATAATAATGACAAAAAGATAATAATAATCATAATGATAATTATTGAGCCCATTTATATTACAAAAGGCTAAAAGTAAAAAAATCCCAAAAGTCGAAAAACAGCAAAATTTAACCAATTACAGCATTTTGAGAGAATGGTCGAAAACCCCGTTTTTCGATTCTAAATGATAATTATGAGGATTTTAGCATTAATTCTGATAACTATGATAATTTCTACGATAATCCCACTAATGTTGATGATAATTATGATAATAATGATAAATGATAATTAGAATAAAGATAAAATAATAATTGGAATGATAATTTTGATGACAATAGAAATAATAGCAATAATTAACAATATTCTAATAATTTTCATACCAATAACAACAATAGAAATGATAATGATAATGCTATTACTGTTATTATAATGTCTATTATTGCTGCTATTTTCCCTAGAATTATCATTATCATTATAGAAAGGGTTTTAATGATGAAAATGACATTATTAGCTGTATTCCTGCTGCCCCCAGGTGAGTAATTTTGATTTAAGTTGTTATTTTGATTGTAGGGATAATTTTCTTTTCACAAGTGTTACCATAAGTGTTTTGATGATGGCATGTTTACTACGGGCTATAGAAGCATCTGTCATGCTACACCACTCTACAATGAGGCGTTGCTAATGATTTCCTTGTAGCTCTGCAGTTCACTATTTTATATCAGGTATTGTAAAATGGTTAATTTTTAATTCCTTTGTTGTAGTATGAAGTGAGGCTATTACAGAGATAACATTATCCTCTTCTCTCGAGATTAATAATTAGGTTTAGGTTATGTTAGGTAAGGTAATATAACATAGGGTAATATATATATATATTATCTATCTATCTATGTATATAAATCTATCTATATACATTATACTTATATTAAACATATATATTATATATATATATATATATATATATATATATATATATATATATATATATATATATATATATATATATTTATATATATTATATATATATATATATATAATTATATATATATATATATATATATATATATATATATATATATATTATATATATATATATATATATATATATATATATATATATATATATATATATATATTATATACATTATATATATCATATATATATTATATTATATATATATTATATACTTTATATATATTATATATATTATATTATATTATATTATATTATATATATGTAAGTATATATATAAATTCCTGCCAAGTGCCAAAAATATATATTCATTCTACACGGCTATATAACGTCAAGGTAAATAATTGAGGAACACCATTCATGCCAATAGGACAATACTGAAAGTTTATTCAGGGATTTTTTCTCCCCTTAGTGCACAACGTTATGTAATGCCATCTGTAACTGTCACTGAATATTTATTTAATGACGTACATTTTCGTATAATTTTATACTGATATTGAGTCCCTGTACATATATGATGAATGCACATGTGAAGATGTCAAAATCATTCTAGATACAGGATGAATGCACATGTGAAAATGTCAATATCATTCCTTTATAAGCATTTTCTTTTCGTTTTTTCTGGCTTTTATTGCGGCAATGGACTGCACACAAATACCAACTCAGAGTCCAGGTGGTCCTCAAGTAGAGCAGTAATAATTACTTTTATTATTATTTCTGTTATCATTGTCGTTATTATTATTAGGAAAATCATTAGAATAGTGTTTTATTGCTATTATTGCAATTATTAGGCAAATCATCATTATAATTATCATTGTATAATTATTATCATAATTATTGTCCTAATTACTCTCATAATTACCTAACCTAACCTCAACCTAACCAACCTAGCCTAAACCTAACCTAACCTAAACCACCTTACCTAACCTAACCTAAATAATCTAACTAACCTAACTTTAACCTAACCTAAACTAAACCTATCCTGACCTAAACTAACCCCAACCCTAACCCTAACCTAACCTAGAGGAATGTGTGTATGCGTGTGGTGTGTGTGTGCGTGTGTTTGTCTTTGTGTGTATGTGTCTTTGTGTGTATGTGTGTGTGTGTACATATATCCCATATAAATATATATAAATATATATATATATATATATATATATATATAATATATATATATATATATATATATATACATATATATATATATGCATATGTATACGTGTGTGTGTGTGTACATATTTTCTTATTTTATGTATTCACGTATGTACATGTACTTACATGGATATTGGTAAATGGCGGATAGTAATAGTAATAATGATTCAGATTAATAAAAAAAAATTACTGCTACAACTAATGATGATAATAATAATAATACAATAATAATGACAATAATGATAATGAAAATTAAGATAACAAAAATGATAATAATGATAGTAAACCAGTATTAATAATAAGAATAGGAATCATTATGAAGTAAGAACCTCACCATTAACAATGTTAAAAATGATGTTAATAATGATAATGAGGATAACAGTAATTATAGTAATGATAACACTGATGATAAAAGATGTGTCAATGAATAATGGAGACACAATCTCTTTTTGATATGAAATTGGTAAAAAAAAAATTACTTGTATGAGAGAGAGAGAGAGAGAGAGAGAGAGAAGAGAGAGAGAGAGAGAGAGAGAGAGAGAGAGAGAGAGAGAGAGAGAGAGAGAGAGAGAGAGAGAGCGAGCGAGCGAGAGAGAGAGAGAGAGAGAGAGAGAGAGAGAGAGAGAGAGAGAGAGAGAGAGAGAGAGAGAGAGAGCAGAGATAGAGAGAGAGAGAGAGAGACATTCAGACAGACAGACACTGAGACACGCACACACACACACACACACACACCAAGCAGCCAAAAACAGACACTACACGACAGACGCCTCCCACGGGCTTGCTAAGTCTAGTACAAGTCCTGTTGTCTTTGTAGCCATCCAGAGCCATCTCAAGCCAACGCACTGCTCCTCCTGCAACGGTCCTTGCAACTGACGAGAACATCAAACTCACCTGCGGTTTTATGACCCTTATGGCAGGGTGTTCAGCTAACGGGAAGAGGGGCTTATAGAAAATGCTCCGTGATACCGCTGTGTAAAAGATGTAGCCAGGTGTGTGTGTGTGTGTATGCAATGTCGGTATAAAAAATAGATGTTTCTCTTTGTACAAGGATATTTGATCAAAGGTAAGTATGCATTACTTTTTTAAAAATGGTGCCTAGATGAGCAATCCCCGATAAGTAAATTACAGTGGGCCGACGGAGAGGTGGCCGAAAGATAGCAAGTTATTTTAGTTCGATCTTTAACCGCATATTTGTGGCAGATGAGAAAGACGATTGCGGGAGATCGAGAAGTAAAGTTTGGTTGAATTTATGCCCTCAAGCAAGTTTATTTTTGACATCTTACAATGTTTTTCTGTTCTTATAACAGACAAAAATAATTTTGACAGTGAGCACGCT